TAATAATGTGTGAACCCATCTTTTTCTTTTCTTTTCAAATTAGTCTGGTGTTGCAAAAATAGGATGGTACAATCTGTCCCTAGGACTCCCAGAAAATAATGTCACCATTGTCACCAATAAAACCAAGATCCTTGAGCCTCCTTTCCTGGTAGTACTCAAGGTCATCTAATTCTTGCTCCCTCTCCTTGAAAATATCATTGATTTGCTCCAGTACTTTCTTTTCACCCACTCTCACTTCAATGGCAATTTGCTGTCTTGATTGCAGATCTTCTCTCTCCAATAGCTCTTCATCCTGAATATTTTATGCATGTTTTATCAGACTAATCAGGAGGTAACCAACAAATAAGATGAAAGTGAATAGCATTCTTTTTTTAGCAGGCTCACCTCTTCTATGGTGGTGTGGTAAGCAGCAAGAGCAGATTTGCAGGCATTCTGGATGACTTGGCATATTGATTCCTCGTTGTCACGGCTCACAGGCAGTTCAAGGTGCTCCCAAACTTTATTTCTAAAGAGGGCTTCCAAGAGAAATGCGTCTGTTCCCCCAAGACAAAGTAATCGTAGGTACGTAATCATTTGAGGAGGAAGAGATTCACCGAGGACGACATCGAAGTATGCGGTCTCCCCCATTCCGTTTAGCTCTGCAATGTCAAGTTTGTCTTCATAGAAGGGATCAGATTCAGAGATCTCCAGCGTCAGAGTATACGAGTCCCTTGACGAGTTTTCTTCAGTGAACCCATAGTCAAGTGCCAATTCAGCATTACTCTTGTCCAGGTCATACTGAACATATATCTGTCAACGTATATCATTAAAACTGCTGGTTATGAAAGATCTTGGCAAATACAGTATTACATTACATATAACAAAAGTAATATAAGTTGATGCATGCCTGTTCTCCAGATTTAACCTCCATTGGCGTTCGCAAAGAGAACACAGTATCCCTGCCTAAAAAGCCCTTTCCTTTGATCTCCCAACAGGATTCTTTTGAGGTAATATCACCATTGTGATTTATCTGATTTGGCAAAGTACCAAAATGATTATAACTGAATAATATTCAGAATTGCATCATGTATTGAGGAAAAACGCATAGGCAAGTAATCTCTAACAAAAAATATATTCCAACAGGTAGCATGACAACTTAATCACTAAAATTACAAGGATGCCCATTGACACAAGGAGAATTGACCGGGAGCCTTTTGAATAAGCAACGTCAGACCAATGTAGGCATGTTTTGAGTTCAGAGATCTTACCAGATCAGCAAATGGTATGAGGGCAAGCTTATCTCCACGGAGCTCAGGGAAAACCCTTGATCTTAGTACTCCGAATGCCCATAGAAAATCATCAAATGTTATAGTACCAGGGAAAAGGTCTTTATTCGCGTTTATGATCTCAGCTTCAACATTATCGAATTCGCTTTGCACGTACTCTTTCACACCCGTCGTTGTGCTCAGCAATTGTGTTCCTGAAAAGCAAAGGACAAAAGCATACAAAGTTAATTACAACTCCATCAGGTAACTACTAATCCACAAAAGATCGAAGATCGAGTTTCGACGGCGAAGGCATGGAATTTTGCACTGCACGCTCACCTTGTATCTCCAAGAGCTCTTCTTCTGACCTGCACTGGAGGCACGAAGCAACCACTCGAAAACATCAGAACGCGCAATACGAGGCCGTGCAGAAGCAGCAAAGACATTTCATCAAACACATCAGCGTCACCTCACCAGAAGATGGTGGAGTCGGTCTGGCGCGGGAGGATGGCGAGGTAGGGCGCCCACAGCGAGTCCCCTCCGCGCGCAGCCTCCCTGAGGATGAGCAGCGAGACGGAGACCCACGGGCGGAGGTCCCCGGCGCTGCCGCAGACGCGGCCGAGGTCGGAGGCGGCGACGGCGTCCGCGTCCAACCAGAGCTTCTTGGGCACCTCGGCGACGACCTCGCCGCGGGGCAGGTCCCGCGCCGCCACGAGGCCGAGGCCCTCCGGCACGACCGCCGGAGCCACCGAGCCCGTGTCTGCACCCTGGGAAGAGAGCCAGCGACGGAAGTTCTGCAGCGCGGCGTCCGAGGGCGCGGACACCGCCGTCGCCGCTGCCGCCGATGCCCTTGTGGCTGCGGCGGCCGCGCGCGGGAGCAGGTGGAGGAGGGGCCTCGGCCTCCTGGAGAAGCGGAGGACGGGAGGGGGTCCGTGGCCGGAGAGGAGCCGAGGCGGGAGGACGAGGTGGTGGAGAGCTGCCATGGCGCGCGGGCAGGAGACGGGCACCGCGACGTGGGTTGCGGAGGTCGGAGGATGTGATTGTTTGGATTGGGAAACGACGACCGTTGGTTTTGTTGTGTAAATGGCGGGAGTGGATATGATTAGTGCTGGGCCCGAGCTGCAGTGTGATCAATTAATAACAGCATTTTGCACCTTTTTACCACTTCTATGTTAGCTACTCCTCCATCCCAAAATAAGTTTCTCAATTTTAATATAATTTTATATTAAAATTAGTACAAAGTTGAGATACTTAGCCCTGTTCGGCAAATCGCAGCGGAGCGGAGCCGGTGGAGCGCCCTTCCAACCACTCCTCAAATTAGAACTAGATCCTGCTCCACTCCGGCGTGGAGTTGGAGAGTGGAGAAAGTCCGAATAGCCCCTTATTTTGGGACGAAGGGAGTATATTTTTTTTTGATGTGTATGTTAGCTAATTATTGGACCTGTATGTAAGTTGTCTCATTTTTTCTTCTTCCGTGCAAGTCACATTTCGTCGGAGCTTCTTCCTCTTGCTGTCATCAATCCTCGCCCTCCCGTCGCCCTTCGAAGTGGGTTGGGCAGTCTGTCAACGGCGATGTCGCGCGTGCCTCACCTTCTCCAAGCTGCCAGCTCCACCGGTTTGCCACCGCCCTTGGCCATCACTCTAAGTGTGACCTTTTCTCCGGTGCCAGCAAGCCCCCTATACATGTCACCCATCAACCTCTGACTCCCCTCGTCGACGTTGTTGCCAGTTGTATCGATGTCGGCTCCAGGTCGCTCCAACTCTGCATCGCTAGGACGTTGCTGCCACTAGCGCCGCCCCCATCTCCGCCTCCGCCTGTGTCCTGTCATCTTCTCCTACAAGTGAAATCGACCGATGCAAGTTTCATTTTCAGACAAGCAAATGCCTTAACTATTTTTTTTGACTTTTTTAGATAATATGCGCATTGTAGACCCATATGACTACCGACTACTCCCTCCGTCTAGGTGTACAAGTCACCTTATGAAAACCAAATAATCTCAAAACATTTAGGCGCGATGCATTAACTCCCACCTCGTTTCTTGTTTCTTGGCATATCAACCAATAAGATATGTGGGGCGTACATGCTTTCAATGACTCGAGACTACCAAACACGACATGCATTGTTTAGTTCATTGCATGCAATGCTATTAATTAGCAAATAAACATTAAGTTCTCATAAATAGTCAGTCTCGTGCAAATAAAAGCGTTGTCTCGACTGTCAAGAAGAAAAATAAATTATTTTCAGGACACACATCGTTAAGCGTGTGTTCCTAACTACCAAACCAATGGTTGGCTCTAATTTGAAGGTTTTTCATCTCGAAACATCCACAAAGTTATGATTTCAGTTGACACTTTGCCTCCCTATATTCGAAGGAAAAATACATGGGGTAGTTACCTCATGTCCTATATACTACCGTGTGTTGTATATAAAATACTTTATACAAAATTTAATTTGGCTCCCAGGTGCACATGCTCCTGCTCGCAAAAATTATTTTTAAAATGTCAAAAAAATCAACAAAAATTCTATGTGGAACTTTGCATATGTTAATGACTCTTCTCCATACAGCAAACTAAATCTTTATATCATGTGCCAAAAGAAAATAATTCGTTCATTATTAGTAGTACATCACTAGACTTTTATTATTTACTAGTAATAATGTACGTGCAATGCACGTTTATATTAGGTAGAATATTAGTTGCACGTTATATTAGGTAAGATATATCTGTTGCACGTTGGTATTTGATAAGATATCAATTACTTTTTCACGAGAATGGTAGGATATTAATTACATGGCAGATTTCAAAGGATAGCATTGAGTCAAAACATGTTTATAACCAATGATAGTGGTGGGTAATTAAAGCGTTAAACATATTTGGTGCTCAACCTTGAAGCGATTTGAACCGCTAGATAACATAATTTGACGGTCAATTAGAGCGTTAAACGTGTTTGGTGCTCAATCTTGAAGCGATTTGAACCGCTAGCTAACATGATTTGACGGTCGAGATGGTTTGGATCTGCCCATTTGAGTCCTTTTATATTGGTATAGATATAGATTTATTTTGACACTTTTCCTATTAACTACTAGGATGAACATGTTTTTTCTTGGTAAGGAATGCATTCATTGCACATGCACCAGTAGTTACGGCAAGGAGGCGAGAAGAATGTGGTTGGGCGGGATAAAACCAATGTGATCCGTTTATTCATTTTCATACAGAACTTGTTTTCGCTAGCTGTGCAAATGCAACTTAGTTTGACATTGTAATGTAGAGCGAACATGCTTCTCCTATACCAAGTGGCTTTGCAAGAATCGGAACCTTCATCAATTTTATAAGATAAGAAAACACTTCAAATTCCTAGCTTCCACAGGTTTTCAGTATGTAGCATCGTTTTATAAAGATACTTCCATTACCCTCCCACAAAGCGCAAAGGGACCCATTCAACAATGCTAAATAGAGATGAGCATCCGCTGAACTGATGGCCACCCAAAAGGAACGCATTCCTTTTTCTCTTTTCTTTACCGTAAAAGAGGAACACAAGCTAAATCTCAGCTTATCCCAAACACATACTGTATATCATATCAGGTTACTTGTAGCAAGCACATTTTCCGAGCCACTCTGGTTTGGGACAGCATAATAGTAGCTTGAGTACATGTCCAGGCACAACGGTTATTGAGTCAACAGACAAGTAATGGGGGGCATTTGCATCCCACATTATCCCAAGGTGCTTGCATTCCAAACCTGAAGCATACTTTCATATCAGTTCTTCCTGCCTTCGCAGAGGATGAAGTGGTACCCGTGCCTGAATAGGAGCAAACAGACATTGTGTAAGTATTTGGAAATAGCTAGATGATTAGTCAGAATTTAAAGGAGCAAACATCTTCAGGTAATAATCCAGGCTAGGATCTGAGCATTTCTCTTTATCCATAAATAAGTAATATAGCATCCGAAGTATTAGTCCAAAGGAGATTTGCTACTTGCATGATCTATAAGCCAAATATGGAAGAGAAACGGTGACAGTTGACATACGTAGACTTGAATGGTGCACTAGTAGCTCCCACAGGTGTGTTAAACGCAACCTCCTGGAAAGGACCAGCCATTTTGCCACGCGGGAACCATCCAAGATCCCCACCTTTCTTTCCTGATGGGCATTCAGAGAATTCTTGGGCTACCTGAAGTATCAGAAAAACAGCTACGTAAGTCAAATGAAATATTATTCATGGTATTTAATAGCGTACGGAATACAGCATACAGTCTACAGGCAACAAGTTTAAGAATTGTACTGTACACAGCAGAATATTAATTTGAAAATGAAGGTATATTTTCTAGGTAGATAGTTTTCCATTTGATGTCCTGTACATAACTGGACCAGGTAGCACAGGCATGCCCTTAGTAATTCACAAACCTCACAGAAGGTGCATTCACAACTATGACTAACACCTGCTCTCAGCAGACTTAATAAATTACCCCCTCCGTCCCATAATGTAAAACGCTTTTTGACACTAGACTAGTGTCAAAAAGCGTCTTACATTATGGGACGGAGGGAGTAGCATTTACCAATTGTAACAGATATTCACAGATCCAGCATTTACAGGCAACACAAGTAAGTATATTACTAGATATCTTAGCCTGCCAGTTTTCAAGTTTCAAAAAACCCAATTTGCTTACAAGACTATGCACCAGAGGGATTTATTCCAACTTCTGCACAATCGAGACAGTATTACAAAGTATTATCTGAGCAAAAAAAAGAGAATTTGTTGGTTATACCCGTTTCTTAATGAGAACAGCTCGATCCTGACTTAGTAAAAGTTCTCAAGGTCCTCTGGTATAGTCCTTTGATTAGCTACCCAGATGATCAGGCCTATTACTAGTCTGGAATTGGCATCAACACCAGGCAGTACTAATTATATATGCCAGTTCTAGAACCATGTTTGGCGAATTTTGACACCAGCACCTTTTGCCCCATCAAGGGGTCAACTATAACAAAAAAGCCCAATCTCAGGCTACAATATCAACATGTATAACAAGATAAATTAAGCAATTTTTTACTCGCTTCACATAAACACTAGTTGCGCTTCTCAATAGACAAAGAAATTACTAAATTAGCGCACAGGTTATATGAATTCAACACAGGTGACAAATAATCCAACTTTCAGGTACCATGACCAAAGAGGTTAGAAGCATACATGAAATAAAACATGTAACACATTTTTGGATCGTTTTATCTAAATGCAGGTAAATCATAGAGCCCTAAATGACATCTCGTAAACAAAAGCAGGTGAAAAAAGTGTGGGAAAAGCAAATTGCAGACAGTGAATTTCACTGATAATCTGAGGTTCAGTCAATTCCTGACTAATCTCAAGCATCTTCCTTTAAGCATACTATACATTAAAAGCTGAGATGGATTGACGAGGGCTTGTCAATCTGCCGCTCACCTTGGCAAACTCAGCAGGAGGGACCTTGTCCCCGTTGTCCAACCAGCCTTCCTGCAGCTTCTTGTACGCCTCATTGATCTTCCCCTGCTTCTCGCACAACACGTGCCTAGCTGCAAGCACAGGACAGCAACGCAACAGTTAGCACAAAAGAGGACACAATTTCAAAACAATATCCAAATCCAGTAAGCCTTCACTCAAGCATCTAATCTCGACCTCACAGCCCTGCCAATTTCTGAAACGAAGCATCATAGGCGAATCTAGCCACAGAGCATCCCGGCTCCCCCCCACCCTACGCGACCCTAAGATTCTCATCCTAATCTCGCGAGATCGACGGTTGGGATCCGTGATACCTTTGACGAAGGTGCAGGTGCCGAGGTCGTCGCCGCCCTTGCCGCCCTTGCCCTTGCCCTTGCCTCCCTTGGCGCCTCCGGCGTCGTCGGAGGAGCCGGCCGCCTGCTTGCCCTTCCCCTTGGCCTCCTTCCCCTTCCCGTCCTTCCCCATCCGCGCTGGTCGAGCGGGCGCGAGAGCTGAGAGAGGGGGTCTTGGTTTAGGGGCAAAAACCCTAGCTAGCTAGACTGATGATTGGGTCGAGATTGAGAGGAGAAGAAGGCGAGGCGAGGAAGACGAGACCAAACCTGGCCAGATGGGCCAGGCTTAGCCTGGGCTAAAGCGTGCCAGAGGCACGGCACGCCAGCTACAGCCATGACTTGTGGGCCAGACCTGGGTTACACGGTCGAGCTAATGGAGTTGGCTACTTTGCCATGTCAGCACTGACTTGTGGGTCAGACATGTCATAATCGGGTTTTTAGCATCCAACTGGTAGGTTTTAAGACAAAATAAAAAAGTGGTAGTTTTTTGAGATACATACCTAGATAGTAGTAGTTTTTGGTTAATTACTCCGGGTAGCAGTGGCCGTTAGGTGCCAACCTAGAGGCAATAATAAATTTATTTTTTATTTCCTTATATCATGATAAATGTTTATTATTCATGCTAGAATTGTATTAACCGAAAACATAATACATGTGTGAATACATAGACAAACAGAGTGTCACTAGTATGCCTCTACTTGACTAGCTCGTTGATCAAGATGGTTATGTTTCCTAACCATAGACATGAGTTGTCATTTGATTAACGGGATCACATCATTAGAAGAATGATGTGATTGACTTGACCCATTATGTTAGCTTAGCACTTGATCGTTTAGTTTGTTGCTATTGCTTTCTTCATGACTTATACATGTTCCTATGACTATGAGATTATGCAACTCCTGTTTACCAGAGGAACACTTTGTGTGCTACCAAACATCACAACGTAACTGGGTGATTATAAATGTGCTCTACAGGTGTCTCCGAAGGTACTTGTTGGGTTGGCGTATTTCGAGATTAGGATTTGTCACTCCGATTGTCGGAGAGGTATCTCTGGGCCCTCTCCGTAATGCACATCACTTAAAGCCTTGCAAGCATTGCAACTAATGAGTTAGTTGCGTAATGATGTATTACGGAACAAGTAAAGAGACTTGTCGGTAATGAGATTGAACTAGGTATTGAGATACCGACGATCGAATCTCGGGCAAGTAACATACCGATGACAAAGGGAACAACGTATGTTGTTATGCGGTTTGACCGATAAAGATCTTCGTAGAATATGCAGGAGCCAATATGAGCATCCAGGTTCCGCTATTGGTTATTGACCGGAGACGTGTCTCGGTCATGTCTACATAGTTCTCGAACCCGTAGGGTCCGCACGCTTAAAGTTTGATGACGGTTATATTATGAGTTTATGTGTTTTGATGTACCGAACGTAATTCGGAGTCCCGGATGAGATCAGGGACATGACGAGGAGTCTCGAAATGGTCGAGGTGTAAAGATTGATATATTGGATGACTATATTCGGACATCGGAAAGGTTCCGAGTGATTCGGGTATTTTTTGGAGTACCGGAGAGTTACGAGAATTCGCCGGGGAGTATATGGGCCTTATTGGGCTTTAGGGGAAAGAGAGAGGAGAGGCTGGGAGCCCCCAAGGCCTAGTCCAAATTGGACTAGGGGGAGGGGTTGCGCCCCCTCCTTCCTTCTCTTCCCTCTCCCCTTTCCTTGACTCCTACTCCTACTACTTGGAAGGGGGGAATCCTACTCCCGGTGGGAGTAGGACTCCTCCTAGGGCGCGCCATAGAGAGGGCTGACCCTCCTCCTCCTCCACTCCTTAAGATACGGGGAGGGGGCACCCCTTGGAGACACAACAATTGATCCCTTGGATCTTTTAGCCGTGTGCGGTGCCCCCCTCCACCATAATCCACCTCGGTCATATCATAGCGGTGCTTAGGCGAAGCCCTACGTCGGTAGAACATCATCATCGTCACCACGCCGTCGTGCTGACGGAACTCCCCCTCAAAGCTCGGCTGGATTGGAGTTCGAGGGACGTCATCGAGTTGAACGTGTGCAGAACTCGGAGGTGCCGTGCGTTCGGTACTTGATCGGTCGGATCGTGAAGACGTACGACTACATCAACCGCGTTGTGCTAACGCTTCCGCTTTCGGTCTACAAGGGTACATGGACAACACTCTCCCCTCTTGTTGCTATACATCACCATGATCTTGCGTGTGCGTAGGAATTTTTTTGAAATTACTACGTTCCCCAACAGTGGCATCCGAGCCTGGTTTTATGCTTTGATGTAATATGCACGAGTAGAACACAAGTGAGTTGTGGGCGATATAAGTCATACTGCTTACCAGCATGTCACACTTTGGTTCGGCGGTATTGTTGGATGAAGCGGCCCGGACCGACATTACGCGTACGCTTACGCGAGACTGGTTTTACCGCCGTGCTATGCACACATGTGAGTAGCGGGTGTCAGTTTCTCCAACTTTAGTTGAACCGAGTGTGGCTACGCCCGGTCCTTGAGAAGGTTAAAACAACACTAACTTGACAAACTATCATTGTGGTTTTGATGCGTAGGTAAGAACGGTTCTTGCTCAGCCCGTAGCAGCCACGTAAAACTTGCAACAACAAAGTAGAGGACGTCTAACTTGTTTTTGCAGGGCATGTTGTGATGTGATATGGTCAAGACGCGATGAGATATAAGTTGTTGTATAAGATGATCATGTTTTGTTGAAGTTATCGGCAACTGGCAGAAGCCTTATGGTTGTCTCTTTATTGCATAAGATGCAAAACGCCAAATAATTGCTTTACTTTATCGCTATGCGATAGCAATAGTTGCAAGAGCAATAGTTGGCGAGACGACCATGTGACGACACATTGATATAGACCAAGATGATGGAGATCATGGTGTCATGTCGGTAACGATAAAGATCATGACAGTACTTTGGAGATGGAGATCAAAGGCGCAAGATGATCATGGTCATATCATGTCACATATTTTGATTGCATGTGATGTTTATCCTTTATGCATCTTATTTTGCTTTGTTTGACGGTAGAATTATAAGATGATCTCTCACTAAAAAAATTCAAGGTACAAGTGTTCTCCCCGAGTATGCACCGTTGCCAAAGATCGTCGTGCCGAGACACCATGTGATGACCGGGTGTGATAAGCTCAACGTTCTTATACAATGAGTGCAAGCCAGTTTTGCACAGGCAGAATACTCGGGTTAAACTTGACGAGCCTAGCATATGCAGATATGGCCTCGGAACACTGAGACCAAAAGGTCGAGCGTGAATCATATAGTAGATATGATCAACATAGTGATGTTCACCATTGAAAACTACTCCATCTCACGTGATGATCGGACATGGTTTAGTTGATTTGGATCATGTGATCATTTAGATGACTAGAGGGATGTCTATCTAAGTGGGAGTTATTAAGTAATATGATTAATTGAACTTTAATTTATCATGAACTTAGTCCTGGTAGTATTAGCATATCTATGTTGTAGATCAATAGCTCGCGTTTAGCTCCCCTGTTTTATTTTGACATGTTCCTAGAGAAAATTGAGTTGAAAGATGTTAGTAGCAATGATGCGGATTGGATCCGTGATCTAAGGATTATCCTCATTGCTGCACAGAAGAATTATGTCCTTGATGCACCGCTAGGTGACAGACCTATTGCAGGAGCAGATGCAGACGTTATGAACGTTTGGCTAGCTCAATATGATGACTACTTGATAGTTCAGTGCACCATGCTTAAACGGCTTAGAATCGGGACTTCAAAGACGTTTTGAACGTCATGGACCATATGAGATGTTCCAGGAGTTGAATTTAATATTTCAAGCAAATACCCGAGTTGAGAGATATGAAGTCTCCAACAAGTTCTATAGCTAAAAGATGGAGGAGAATAGCTCAAGCAGTGAGCATGTGCTCAGATTTTCTAGGTACTACAATCGCTTGAATCAAGTGGGAGTTAATCTTCCAGATAAAATAGTGATTGACAGAATTTTCTAGTCACCATCACCAAGTTAGTAGAACTTCATGATGAACTATAATATGCAAGGGATAACGGAAACGATTCCCAAGCTCTTCGTGATGCTGAAATCGACGAAGGTAGAAATCAAGAAAAGCATCAAGTGGTGATGGTAAAAAACCACTAGTTTCAAGTAAAGGGACAAAGAGAAGAAAGGGGAACTTCAAGAAGAACGGCAAGTAAGTTGCTGCTCAAGTGAAAAAACCCAAGTCTGGACCTAAGCCTGAAACTGAGTGCTTCTACTGCAAAGGGACTGGTCACTGGAAGCGGAACTACCCCAAGTAATTGGCGGATAAGAAAGATGGCAAAGTGAACATAGGTATATTTGATATACATGTTACTGATGTGTACTTTACTACTGTTTATAGCAACCCCTCAGTATTTGATACTAATTCAGTTGCTAAGAATAGTAACTCGAAACGGGAGTTGCAGAATGAACAAAGACTAGTTAAGGGTGAAGTGACGATGTGTATTGGAAATGGTTCCAAGATTGATATGATCATCATCACACACTCCCTATACTTTCGGGATTAGTGTTAAACCTAAAATAAATGTTATTTAGTGTTTGCGTTGAGCATGAATATGACTGGGATCATGTTTATTGCAATACGGTTATTCATGTAAGTTAGAGAATAATTGTTGTTCTGTTTACATGAATAAAACCTTCTATGGTCATACACCCAATGAAAATGGTTTGTTGGATCTCGATCGTAGTGATACACATTTTCATAATATTGAAGCCAAAAGATGCAAAGTTAATAATGATAGTGCAACTTATTTGTGGCACTGCCGTTTAGGTCATATTGGTGTAAAGCGCATGAAGAAACTCCATGCTGATGGGCTTTTGGAATCACTTGGTTATGAATCATTTGATGCTTGTGAACCTTGCCTTTTGGGCAAGATGACTAAAACTCCGTTCTCCAGAACAATGAAACGAGCTACTGACTTGTTGGAAATAATACATACCGATGTATGCGGTCCAATGAGTGTTGATGCTTGTGGCGGGTATTGTTATTTTCTGACCTTCACATATGATTTGAGCAGATATGAGTATATCTACTTAATGAAGCACAAGTCCGAAACATTTGAA